CGCCTGGGCCAGTGCCAGATCCTCCTCCTCCTGCGTGCTGCTGGGGACAGCGGTGCATTGTGTGCCTCAGCCTCCCCCGGGCTCACCGGCCCAGCGCTCGGAGCCCTTCAAGGTGGCAGGATCTCCTGTCACTGCAACCCTCTGGGACAGCTAAGGGCAGGGAGTAACTGAGGATCACCCTGAACAGGCCAGAGGCTGGGGAGGGACCAAAGCATCCAGCTGGGGCTGGCAGCCAGCACCCTGGGCCAAGGAGAACCAAGTTAACTCCAGTCTGTAAGATGGTGCTTTTAGCAGCACCAGGCAACGTGCGAGGACACGGGCATCCCCTGTAAACACCCCTGTGCCACCTCTGTCATGCTCTAATCATGCTCATTAGCTGACAAGTGGTCAGACAATGGTTTGCCTTATTCTGTGCTGTCAGTCACTGTCCCCTCCCAGCGCCCCAGAGGGCTTGCTCAATGAACAGAGCTCCATGATGGCTCTGGACTCTTCCTTTTTTCCCCCATCAGCCACACAGAGGCATCACCCAGAGCCACGTGCTGAGAGGAATGTCATCCCACAGCCACATGACTCTGCCCAGAGCACCTCTCACATGTAGGCTTGGGGTGTGACACCACGTGTCCCCAGACACTACCTGGGTGGATGTGCCGAGCTGTGTGCTGACTCTGCCAGGGACATCTCCAGAGCTCGCTGCAGTGCCTCTTCCTCGCTCTGAAACAAAACATCTCGTCAGCAGCTCGGTTGAGGTAGCAGGAGGCAGCCCTGAGGGACACACAGCAGGCACAGCCTTGCCTGGCCAAGGGCAGGTGCACATCCCCTCTCCAAGGCCAGACACAGCCAAGGTGAAGGCCTTGGGCTCAGGACAGACCTGCAGTTCTCTCTCATTCCCCGTACCCGAGGGAATGCAGCCCTGCCTGCCAGTGCAGGGACCATGCCAAGAACATCAGTGGGAAGCAGCTTCCAGCCTCCTCCTCTGCCCTTGGCTTGCAGAACAGAAAGTCAACACCCAGGGAAAACAGCCAGCACACTTTTTCCCTTTGGGGAAAGCTGAGCACCAAGTGCAGCGAGAGCTGCCATTCACAGACACCAGAGCAAACTCTGATGCCCACTGACCATCCAGGATTCCTGTTTTCCAGGGAAGGCCCAGCTGGAGAGTACCAGAGTCCCCTGCAGAGCCTGGGTTACAAAGCAGTTGCTGCAGTAGCACCCGAGGGCACAGGAACCACCCCCCAAACCCACCCCAAACAGCCAGGCCAGGCCACTCACCAGACCGTTCTGGAGCATGACAGCCGAAGGGGAGGTGCTGCGAGTCTGCAGCACAGCTGCTCTGCCTCCTCTGCAAACAGGAGAGAAGCTGAATTATCATCAAGGCAGGCAGCCCTGGTATGAGTACGCAGCCCTGCCGATGTACGAGAAGCCAGGAACTGTTGCTCCTGTGTCCCACAGGGAGCCAAGCTGAGCCTCGTCGTGCCCAGCTCAGAATTACGAGTCAGGCTGTCACCATACCTGGCAGAGGCAGGAGAAGAGGGGCTGTTTGCCGTCTGGGCAGCTCCACTGCTCGATGCAGTGACCATTTTGGAGGAGGATGCCTGGGCTCTCGCAACTGCAGCATGCCTAGGGCAGACAGGACACAACTGCTTTACCACCACGGGCCATCCCTGGGCACTGAATACCCAGGGAGATGAACCTGGGTAAGAGATCTCCCTGGCATCCAACTCCCTCTCTTCCTCCCAACAGCACCCATGTTGTGGCTCAGCTATACCCAAGAGTTTCAAGTGCTGTTTCTCTCCTCAAAACACTGTGCCAGGATAGGCAGAAATCATCGGCTACAGAATAAGGCTACAGAGAGGCAAGAACAAAATTGCCCATGGGCAGTCCTGGAAGATGTGCTGCAGGAAGGAGAGACGGCATATACAGCTGTGCTGACTCTACAAACCTTACTGCTGCTGGAGGACACCCCTGCACACAGGGCAGGGAGGGTGAGAATGCAGCAGTCCCAGACAACGAGCCAGGAAGAGCTCAGCTTCCTCCCTGTTACCCACTTGGCAAGCACAGCCTTGTCCCTGCCAGCCTGTCTGTCCCCAGGCCCTCACCCTGCTTTGGAGAGGGGACGCCCTGCCCCACTGCAGTCATGGTCCAGTGGATGCCGATGCTTGAGGCAGTAGTTCTTGTGGCACTGGTCACAGATCACCTTCATCATCTCCTTCTGCTTGCAGCCAGGCTTCAAACACTTGTTGGTGAAGATCTGAAAGATGACATGGTGGCAGTGAAAAGGAACACACCCAGCAGGGCTGGGGCTGTCCCCTCCTCCATGCCAGGCCCTGGGCACTGACCAGTTTTCTCTCCCAGGGCCACTTCTGTGGGGCTCTGCAGTTTGTCTATGAACACTAGTTTTCTTTAGATAGTTTATTAGCAATTCACTAGTGCTTCTCTCTCCATAGACAAAGTTCTCCAAGATCACAGAACACACAGCAGGAAGGAGACTGCCTCGCCCAGGACCCCTGCCTGCCCTGCCAGGGCAGTGGGGACAGCTCAGAGCCCTCCAGCTGCTGCTGGGCTGGATTCCTGCAGGGCCAGCTCGCTGCAGAAATCTCCTCTCCTGACAAGAAGGGGCAGCTAAATGCTGATTATAATTTCCTAATGGCAGTATGCAGTTCCCCATCCTCATCCTGCCTTTCCTCAGGTCCCAGGTGGCTGTCCAGCCTCACCCCATTGCTATCTCAGCCCCAGACTCACACCACAAAGCCCTGCAGATGTGTACACCTCCAGCTCACCAACCCTCCCTGCCCTCAGCCTGTGCAAACAGAGAGGGCACCAGGCAGAGCACAGTTGTGTGTTGTTTTCATCCCACCCCGAGGCTCCGGCAGGGACCCAGCGGAGCTCAGCAGCGAGATGGAGAGTGCTGGGCTCCTACCTTGCGCTTGCGCTGTGCGGGGTCAGACTTGCAGTCACGGTCAATGTGCTCACCCACCACGACATCGGGCATGTCCCCTCGCCTCACGGGGACCGGGGTGTTGCAGAGGGGACACACAGGGACCTGCACATCCTGTAGAGGCAAGAAAAGGGCTCTGGGAGCATGCAGCTGGGCAACTTCAAGTGCTGTGCAGCCATCTCTCTGCCTTTCAGGATCTGCCTGCTGCAGCTTCCACAGCATCGCCTGCAGTTTGAGAGCCTGCTCACCGCCCTCCAAAGGGCTTGCTGTCTCTGACCCAGCAGCTGCAACAGGTATGGATGCACACTCTGGAAAGGGAAGACAGCAGGGCTGAGAGCTTCCCAAACCATTTCACCCAGTGGCACAGAGCAGGCTAGAACTGGAGGTTCACGGGACTGAGATACAGATGCTGGCTTTCAGGGCTACCTGTAGACTCAGCACACGTCCCAGAGGGGACTGCCCAAGTGATTGAGGGAGTCACAAATCATTCTGATCGCTGTCTGTGAACGCTCAGCAGCTCTGGGCACCAGGCTGGATGAGACCTCCCCTCCACC